ATCCCATTTTTTTAGAAACTCAAGAAAATTGTGTGCTAGGTGCTAAACAGTCGGAAGACATTAGTTTGGGAGCTAAATATAATTCCATATTTAGCCTATTCAAGAAGGGCAAAGGGGTCACTCTTGAAGTATTTTCTCATCTGAAAGTTGATTTTCTTGGTGAAAAGAAGAGCCCTGGAGAAAGTTCATCTTCATAAACTTTTAAGCCTTGTTTTCATCTGCAATTTATTTTGTCACTTCTTATTATAAGCAGAGGAAGAAGGTTGTATTTGTATGCAGAACTTCAGCAAACCAAGTGGGAACCCATCTCTGCTGTAGAGCTAAGTTAGCATTTGCAGTTTTGAAACATCTGCTAAGGTAATTAGTTATTTCTAATGGAGAGCATTACTTACTAGGGGTAGCTACTTTGAAGGTACCTCCATTACCATCAGTCTGAGCAGTATGACCTTGTCCTGACCTTGTGGTACCTGGGAGCACATGGAAAATGTCTGTGTGCTGGGATGGCTGAGCATGGGGTGCGACTCCCCACATTTGTTACTCAGCAGTGTATGCCCTTGTCTGCAGCAGCTGATGTAACTCTCTTTGTAAAAAACCAGCTCTGGTAGTACTTAACCTCTGCTAAGATTTAAGCCTGAACAGAGATGTAGAAACATGCTAAGGCAGAAGATTGTTTCAATGCATTTTATTTTACTGCGTTGAATTTTGCCTTTCTGAAGTTGCAGAACTGATGTTGAAATATGAATATTTTTTCCTTTATATATGGTTTTAAACCCGGAGGAATGCATGACATTTATGTGTAGTCCAGAGTGAAACTCTGGAACCTTGTGTAAAATTATAAACATGGGACTGGTGAAAGTTGCAGTGAAAAATAATTAAAATGTCATAGATACTGACTTTAAAAATGAATAAACTAGCTGAAAACAAGTACAGGTATCTAAGCAACTTTCCTTTGAATGAAAAAAACCAGCTAATCCTATTGGAGACCAAAAGAACAAAAAGAATAATTGAAGTGCATAGGACAAGAACCAAAAAATAGAAAGTCTGAAAATCTCTAACCCAAAAATGGGAATCAAACATTTACATAATATTCATTTTGACTTTTAATTGCTTGTAGCAAGGGCAGGGGGGGAAGGTAAAAAAGATTATACCATTATTTTTTTTCCCTCCAAAAGGAATTTCTTAACGTCATCAATTTCCCTGCTGCAGAATTTTGGTTTAGTTGCTTGATCCTTTAAGTACTGGGAAGCTGGTTTGCACTCTTTTATACCTCTATATTTCTGAGATTTGCTTTCCAAGAAAAATATTGAAATATTATGTTTTTAGAAATATGAAAGCTTACATTTTTTCTCCTTTAAATGTCTAATAGCCTTAAAGCGAATAGAAATATGTATAACTGCAAAATACAATGAGATAACTTCCTGCCAAAAGAGATGCAGGCAGTATATCAAACACAGAACACTTCTTTACTAAGCGGAGGCAAATGCACCTACCGTGAGTGCTGTCACCTCCTCCTACTTTCTGTCCAGGAGGAGAGACGACATGGCCATGGCAAAGCAGCCAACAGTGGCCAGAATGAGCAGCGGGCAGGGGAAGTCTATTTTTATCAGATGCAATGATACATTTTTTTTAGCATTTCTGAAATATTAACACATGGTGTGTCACCTTGGGTTGTGTGTGTGAGGTGGTGAAGGTATGTGGGCATGCCTTTTTTCCTTCAGAAGTATTTCTCAGAATGGGAGGTTCTCATCCCACGCGTAGCAGGCTGAAAGCAAAGAAACTGTGTTCAGAAAGGTGCTAAATAAAGAAAGTGATTGAACAGAGGAGAGGGAGGATGAAAGAACTATGCTGATGCTGGTGTCAAAATAAAATGGGACAATTGCTTAAAACAAAAGCCTGGAACACTTTAGTGTACTTGGAAGATTTAATTAAAACTATGTAGGCCTGATTTTCTACTGCTTGTGCGTTACATAGTGATTTAAGTTGTGCAAGGTATCATACAGTAAGAAGGGGAGCAATATACATCTTTCATCAAGAGTAAAAATGCCTGAATGTTTCTGCATACTGTCAAGTAAAATACACATGTAATACAAAAAAATAAAATGTGTCATGATGTCTGTCTTTGAAAATGGTTATGATAGAATGTACAGCAGACGAGAATCTCAAAACTGTTACTATTTTAATTTGGTTGTTTGTACATAGTTCTCACTATTAACATATTATTTATTATTTGTATACCAGCAAATTATACAAATATATCAAGATTTGTACCTGGCAATTCTTCACTGAAGTTGCAAGGCAGCATTCACTTTCTAATGTACCTGCTACAGTATACTACAGTACGTTGTAGTATTATATATTGTTGGGAAACGGTGGTATATTGTTTGGCAAACATAACATACAAAGTTAACTAATAAGTTTTAAGACAGAAGGGACTTTCATTATTTTGGTGGAAAATGTTTTATCTTCTTGTTTACAGTTCACCATATGTATAATGTATATTTTTCTAGCAAATGTACAGCAGGGCAGCAGGCAAGAAGCCTGTTTTTTATACAGTCTTGGTTGCTGCCCTTTGGGTCAGGTGGGAATCCTCTGGAAGGTGGGAGGTGTCATCATCATGCACATAATTTCCCTAATAAGCATGTTTAGATAGCAGAAACACCTGGAGTTCAGGGTAGCATTGGCATGAAATGAATAGGACAGCAAGGATGGACCCAGGAGCAGATGGGGAGACTTCAAGGCTACTAAGGAAAATGTGGGTAGCAGTAGGGCTTGCTCATAGCAGAAGAAGACAGCAAAGACTGCTCAGTGAAGAAGACAAGATTTCTCAGGGAAGAATATGTGCTTTATTGTAAAGCAGGCTGCTGCTGGAAGTTAGTGGTCTGGAAAGTGGGACAGGAGGAAAGGATCTGACCTGTAAGAATATGATGGGCAAGAGAAAGAATTGGTTTCAATTACCTTTTGATTTACCCCTCTTCCCTAGCAGATCTGAATCTGCAGACCTGAATCTGCTAGATATAAAAAAAAAAATTACCTTTTCTAGTGTAGTAACTTTTGAGGGACTGTACTACAAGGAACATCTTTTGCAAGTGTAGAGTCCCATCATAGCAGTCTGATTTGAATAATACTTAGACTTCCATGAATAAATTCTTGCTGGAACTAGCATGATATCTTAAATGATTATCTAGCCTTGGCAGTCATCTTCAGTAATAGAAAATTAGCTGCCTTTGGCAAGCTGTCCAAGGAGTTAATTAGCTTCACTGTGTTGTACCTTGTGTTTAGTTTAGTGAATTTATCTCTCTTCTGTCCTTGTCTGTCATTAACTTTCTGTCTCCTTGATTGCAGTCTACATGGATCTTCAAGTTCTTCATTAATTTTTTTTTAGGTAAACTCATTAGGCACAGTTCATTTTGTCTTTCAGCATTTCAATGTTTTAATCATACTTCTGGTCTCCAAAGGCAGAGGAAATGTAATTTTTCTGTGCTGTGTTCCATTGATAAAAAATTGCAGGCTAGACTTCTCATTCACCATTTCACAGAGATTGCACAAGTCTCAGAAGTCACAGACTTCCACAATGAAGTTTCCATCCTGTCAACATGAATGGAATCACTTATTCCTAGATTTAGGGTAGTGTACTCGCCCACATGAAATCCTATTACTCTTTGCACCTAGCTTAGGAGGTGAGGTAGGCCACCCTGTATTGATGATTTCTCCAGTACCTATGATTTTGACAACTATGGCACTACCAGCATCCAAACAACTGTGGCACTACCAGCATCCAAAGCAATACAGTTTACCAGCATTTTCCGCCTAAATTTTTGATAAAAATGTTATATCAAGGAGGATCTAAATCTAGCTCAGTCCTACAGTGTATCGTGTTCCACTCAGTGTGCTACTGCAACCATCCCGTGCCACGAATCTGGCTACAGCTTCATTTTAAGACTCTTTTTTTTTAAAACAGATTTTGGTGCATTTAATGACTGTCATTTTTCCTATGCATTTTTAATTTTCTGTCTTTGCTTCCAGTTGTTACAATACACAGAGTTAAACACATTAAAAATATATACTAATGACATTTTGTGACATAAAAACATCTAATAAAAAAAGAAACTCATTGAACAGCTTGAAAGATCAGTCCTTTTACAGTGTAGGAAAAGCAGTCTGACCATTAATCTTTTTCAACACTAAAATCTTAAAAAAGATGACAGTGTTAGTCCTAATTTATGAATGTATGTATTACAAAGCCGACTTTAGAAATCAAATGGCTACTGAATGCTCTGAATATCAGAAACATTGACAATCTTTCTATTAAAGACTTAAATTTTTTTTTTCTTGATTTGTAAACGGTGAATTCTATTACTAAAAGCAATAACTCAAAGCAGGGGAATTTCAGTCAAAATTATTTAAGATGTTATATATCTACGGTTTATTTGTGGCTTGAATTTGTCTGGAAGTCTCCGTTCATACCACAACCTGACTATCACACAGGTTTTTACCAACTAGAGTATATGAAGAGTTAAGAAATTTTTTGTTTAAGTGGTGAGGTTTGGGAACGGGACAATTGTAATTCATAGGCTGGAGTGCCTTGTAACATAATGTACTAACACACATCCTGACGGTCACATCAAACCATTTTCTTTTATAATTAGTGTGTAAGCAGAACAAGTCTATCACAAATTTAATTAGATTGGCCCCATAATTTTTGCTGCTGAATATTTGCTGAAATGGTTAATAAAACATTCACGTACTCAAAATGTAAAGCAGTAGCCTTCTTGCCATGTCATTGCAGCCTCACAGTTCCATAAAAACTGTTTTGTCTAAGTGTGCAAAAAATATAGTCATTGATAGGTATAAATGATATTTTTCAATATTTCAAATAATTTGAATATCTCTGCTGTAAGTCAATTTCATTAATATTTGACATACAGGAATTGTTGATACTAAACTTCTCTTGAATGAAATACAAGCAGTTTTTTGTTGGGTTTTTTTGTGTTTTTCAACAGATGCTTTTGAAGTATCTGAGAAACAAAATAATCCTGTGTTTACCAAGCCAGGAGGAAATGTCACTTTTACTTGCCCCTATAAAATTGGAGATTCAGTCCAGCAAGTGATGTGGGAAAGGATTAAAGCAGATCAGGTAGATACCATTGCTCTGTGCAGCTCATCAGGAGAGCAAAGCCTTCGTTCAGATTTCAAAGAGCGTACACTGGTGGATTGCTCTGATCAGGCAAACTCGATGATCGTCATTCAAAACATTACCGCCTCTGACTTTGCAACGTACCGCTGCGTAGCTACTGGAAGAAACAAAACCTATGTGATGAGTTTTACTGTGGCTGGTAAGTAAAGGAAGAAGTGGTAAATGTTTTTACAATAGGACATTCTGAGGTATTAACACTTTTACCCATATAAAATAACTCTTCACTAACAAGTGACGATTTATTTAAATACCACATTCCAATTAGCAGCATGTAAAAGATAGTAAAGTTAACACTTAATCTTGTTTCCACAGAAAGAAGCTGGTTTTAAGTTTGTCTGATCTCATTATAGGACTTTAGACCTGTTTGTGAGAAACTGGTTTGATGTTAGGAAGGAGCTGCTTTGGAAGAGGAGAGACTGCCTGAGCTTGCAGAGAGAGGTGGGCATTCTCCCAAAGAAGCCATGAGGGGAATTCCCCACTAGCACAGTGCACCGCAGGGTCCTGGGGGAGAGACCTATCCTCCAACGAAGGCAAAGAGCACACTCTAATTTGAAAATGTAAACATTTGTAAAATGGCCTCTACCTTATTCATGTAAGGAGGTTCTTTAGGGGGAGCTGAGAAGCTCTCTAGGTTTTGCTGTGACTCGTCACAGTTTGATTATAACGGGAGCTTAGGTCTCCATATGTAGACACTTAAAACAAGATTTGTCAAACTGTGAGCTGAATCCCACCTTTACTTCTATATTCTGTTATGACTGAAAAAAAAATCAGTTTTAGTTCTTCTCTATAGCATGCATTTTGAAGAGGTGGTTCTTGTACCACCCCAGTCCTTCTGTTGCAGCATTCAGTCCAGCTCTACGGTATCTTTTGAGGGTACTGCTTTTGTTCCTGGTAACAAATAAGTGTTAGCAGGCCTCTCTTTGACAGTACTAAGAGCTGTGGGATGGGGTATGAAACTTCAGAATATGTGTGGTCTGTGATATTGTTGTTGAGAAGTGGTGAATGTGCTCAGGAAAAAAATGCTGACCTGCTTTACTGTGAACACTTGACCATAAAAGTCCATGAAATTGAGCAGAATGTGCTGAAAAGAAAAGCGGTATCAGGAGAAAAATTCCTCTCACCTCTGGCAATTTTAAATATTCAAATTTCAAAATGTTGACTATATTAATAGAATCAAACATATCCAAATTGTAGAGCAATAGAAATATTTTGTGTTTACTTCAAGTGCAGTGCTTCTCATACCAAAATGAAAGCATATGAGTTGCAAAACATACAATAACTTTAAGAATTATCAGTCCTCCGTACACAAACTATTTCTTCTCCAAAAAAAGAGTTCTTTTGCTCTTGAAACAAATCTTATTTATCATTTTTAGTTCTAACAATGCTAGCATAGTTATACCTGTTTATTGGAGAAAAAAAGGTCTGAAACCATTGAAGAAGCTGAAGTATAGTATGATTCAGAAAACACCCCATTGTGTCCCTTTTAAGCCCTCACACCATATTACAAAGTGCATTTTGTTGAATTTTCATTAATTCCAAAGGAAGAGAAGTGTCAAGGATTTCCAATTATTTCTCTTTAATGTTTGGAGCTGTTTCATAACATGCAATTAATATTTCCAGTGAGATATGGAGAAACACTAAGGGGAAAGGAGCGACAGGCCAGGTGTCAGCTCCCACTGCACCCCGTGGTATAGCCGGTGAAGTCTCTCACAACCTCATGCATGACTTACTCTGATGCAACAGCTGTGGCTTGAATAAACCAAGTGGTGACAGAAACTTGCTATGCTTTTTTTTGCGTATGTACTATCAGTACAATAATTTCATTTTCTTTGGCTTAGCATTACAGCTAAGCCACACTCTAGCTTGGATTTTCTACCAAACTCTTCTAACGTTTTTAGTCTGTTGGTGTGATTCTGCACGGGTACTGCAAATCTTCTCTCCTTGCCCAGTTCCAAAGATATTTTGAAATACTAAGTCTAGGAGCTGGGAGAATAAACAGCAGTTTAAACAGTAATAGGGGAAACTCTGTTTATGTTGAGAGAGAGTAAGAGGAAAGATAAGAAACTTTTTTTTTTTTTTTTTTTTGAGAAGCTGTCATTGAGAAGATGTCAAGAATTTTTAAAGAGGAGGAATCTTGGGTGAAAGGAGGTAGATATAAGAGCACAGGATTATTTGCAGAACTGATAATAGTTCCAAACCTGCTGATTCGAAGAGGTGGTACAGTAGAAAGAAGCAACTTGCTTCTTGCCTAAAGGTGAATGTATTTTTTACAAGGAGAAACAGCATGGAATTTCTATGAAGAAAAAAGGGAGAGAGAGGGGAATAGGTATTCAAGTGTTGGGAAAGCCTGTGATATTCTTGCAGTTGTATCGGTAGAAATTGGCATGTTGCATTTAACGTTTTCAAACATCAGTGAAAATAAAACCATGAGATCCATTCAATATCATTAAGTTTGTCTACTCTATCCCACTAAATATTGTGATTGTTGTTTTTCAGTAACAGGAATTTCCAGCTGAAATAGGTCTTCTGCAAATCTTTTTTGACCTTAAAATCTGGAACATACAAAGCAACATGTGTATGTAAAGTAGTGTAGCCTTTGTTGGACAACACTTACAGAAATAGGAGGCTGAATACTACATAATTATATAATGTGTTCAAGAGACTTTGGATTGATTTCTGATGTGTTCTTCACCATATTTCTCCTTCTAAAAATTCTATTGATATGGAGATTGGCCATGTCACTAGATTCCACATCTGAACCCATTTCTGATTTTTACTTACCTTGTTTTTTCCTTTGATAAGATTTCTTTTTTTTTAGCATGTTTTTCAAGGAAGGAAGCAGACTTAAAATCCATGCATTATTTTGGTAGATAATTGGGAAAGAAGGGGAGATGTCGTATGAAAGAACAGAAAAATTAGAAAGGTTGAAAAAGAAATGCTTATTCCATCTTGAAGACCTAGCCATTTTTAGAAAGATTTAATAAGTTCTTTTCTTGCTTTAGCAGAAAGTGGGATAGCAAGCTCTCTTAGACAAAGGAAAATAGAACCATTTTGTGTTCCTGTGTGTTCCCACCAGATCAGAAAAAATGGTTGGTGGTTGTATTTAAATGTATGTTTAGGGGTCAGAATTACATTATGCTTTGTACTATAACCCTTTTACCAGCTTTGTTGCCCTCCTCTGGATGCATTCAGGTACCTTAATATCTTTCTTAAATAGTGGGGCCTAGAACCCCACACAGTACTCAAGGTGAGGTCATACAACTGCTGAATACAGTGGGACAATCACCTCTTTCCATGGGCTGGTTATACTGTGTTTGATGACCCCAGGATGAAGTTTGCCCCCTTGGCTGCCAGGGCACGCTGCTGACTCATGTTGAGCCGGCTGTCGACAAGCATCCCCAGGTCCCTTTCTACAGGACTGCTCTCCAGCCACTTCTCTCCCAATTTATACTTGTGCTCGGCATTACTCCATCTTAGGTGAAGAATCCAGCATTTGTTCCCTTCATCCGCTAGGTGGGTGACCTTATTGTAGAAGGATATCAAATTAATTAGACAGGACTTTCCCTTTGTGAATCCATGTTGACCATGCCTTTAAATTGTCCTTTAAATGTCTTTCAGTAGCACCCAGTATGATCTTCATAGCACCCAGATGAAAAGCAGGGGACTACTTGTCCAGTCATTGAGGGTTATTATACAGTCCTTTTGAGCTGGGAGGAGACAGCAGTACTTCTGTGCCATAGAAAACAGAGAGAAGATAAAGCTGTGGTTGAGGTTGAGGAGAATCAGGGTAGGAGTGAAATTTGCTTCCCTTCTTCCTTCATGAATTCATCCGGTATGAACACAAGATATCAGTCCATGTCTGTGGGTCTCTACTCAACAAACCACCTTTCTCTGGGCATGAATGCATTCATGCTGGATTTCTGCCTTTCGGTTGTGGGCAAAACTATTTCAGTGATGTTTAGTTTGCATACCATATGTGCCAGTCCAGCAAGGCATGTGACAAGCTACATGAAGATCTTCACAGTGCAGTTCAAATCTCTTGTTAGAACAAATAATTGCCTGGCCCATCAGTGTTTCCTCCTCAAAACGAAAGTCAGTGCACTGAAGGTCAAAATCCTTCACGCAAAAAAAATTCACAATCTTGCAGAGAAAATGACAAGGCTACGAAGATGGGGGAGAGAGACACACATTGTCTAATACTTAACAGAAATTGTACTGATGTTGAAAATACACTTAATAGCCTCCCATCAGCATATCACCTTTGATGAGAACACAAGAACTAAAGAGACACATGATGAGCCTCTGACATGTTTCTGCAAAATCTTGAATGTTATGTTAAAATCAGTAGTTACAAAAGGTTTTGTATAGTTAAAAAAATACAAATGCCTCAGGAAGGCTTTGCTCACTTCAAATGAGAAAAGGCAAAAGGGCTTTGAGTTGTTGTTTCTTCTAAAAAAAAAAAATCTAATTATTTTTCTCATCCAAATGTAACTGACAGCTGATAATCTCAGCTCTCAAACTCATTAACTCAGAGATTATTATCTTGACCTGATAAAACTGAAGGTGAAACTTCAGGAAAAGAAAAATGAGGTCTGGAGTGCTTAGACTGAAGGGTGGGGATGCTGCTGAAATCTGGAACTCTACCCAGATTCACCCATCCTTGATGATAATTAAACACATGATCTTTTAACAGAGTAGCTAAAATCTTAAAATTTCTTTGTTGCTTACAGGATATTTTCTCCCTATTTCTGTAAGTACTCACTGGCACAGATAATGATTTTCTGTGGTGGGTAAGTAAACACTTGGAAAAAAAAGACATTATAATTTTTCCTGAAGTTGGACATAGCTATATGCACCATCTTGTCATTTTCAACACAGCAGTTGAAAGTGTGCTGGAAATAGAGTGACTTCATATGCAATTATAATACAAAAGACATCAACCTTTGTTATCAGGCAGCCTTCTCTATTGTGTCACATACCTTCAGCAGCACAAACTTCTGAGAGAATTTTCTTTCTTTTTTCTTTCCAGTAAAATAACATTGGAATTCAAGGATAAGACTCTTCTGTGATCAGTATTTTTTGTTATCCTTTCCAATGAGCATATTAATACTAAAGAAGTGTACCTGAGTAAGTTTCAACTGATATTCACGATAGCCAGATAAGAAGCTGTGAACCTTTTTGATCCAGGAGAGAAAAGCCATCTGGTGATGGCTCAGTATCGTTAGTGATACTGATTGTTTTCCTTTGTTTATGAACTGAGCATGTAACTTTCTTGTCTACCCAGAGTGAAAGCTCTTTGGGGCACCTGTGGTTTCATCTTCAGGTACTATCTTCCTCTGTGCAGTGAGAACATTAAAGAGGGACTAACCTAAGGACAGTTTTTTTAGTCCCTGTTCACCAATGAATTGCTAGTCTGTATGTGAAAGACAAGAAACAAGTTTGTGGCCAAGAAGTTGGCAAGATCATTTGGCTAAGATGTGTCCTGATAGCTTATACTGTGTCCTGGCAGCTGACGCTGCTAGCCGCCTATACCCTGTGTACCAAAGTGTTTATTACATAGTTTGTGTTTGCTTGCTTTTTGTGCTATTAGTCTCAAGTGCTAGTGCAGAGATGCAACAGAGAAGCAAGAAGCAGGGCACTGTGATGGACTGCAAAAATTTGACTTGAAGTTCTGTGGTTTAACACATTTTTTTTTTTAATGCTACCACTAACCAAGTTCAGAATTGTGATAAGAAAAATTCACAAATGTTTTAAATGCACGTTGACTCAACTAAGGTTTTGTGTTGTGGACTTCCTGTATGACTTGTGGACTTCCTGTGTGAGTATGTAACTTCTTTTTTCTCCACCTTTTTTAACCTAAAAAATGAGACTAATATTACATCACCTTCCACAGTCTTGAGTACCATAAGAATATATAGACTCATTCCTTCAAGCCATCATCTTGCTTGTCTCTACCCTTTAGTCATTATATGTTGCTCCTTAGCTTCTTTTGAGGATGTGACTCCATAGTGAAGAAGTCTACACATTTTAAGCAGAGCTACTATAAATGTTACTTTTCCTGCCTTGGTTGTAATTCTCAAATAAATAATTTTTGTTTAGGCTAGAAGAAATAAGGTAGGTTTCCTGACATCCATCATCTAAACATGTACAGTACTGGGTTATAAAAAAAAAGCAATCACAATGGGAGAAATTTTTGTGGAAATGCTGTTAAAAAGTGAACAGATTTCCTTTTGAATTAGAGCAGAAAATAACTGATACAACCGTGCAGTACTGAATAGAAAACCTCTTGGGCACTGAGATGATCTTCCTGGTACTCTGAAAAATGTCTTGTTGCTCATGGAAGTATTACATGATTGTTAGGTATCTCTTATGGGACAACCTTTACAATGCCAAAAACATTCACTTAAGTAGTCTGAGTGCTTTTATTATTCATATATCAAGTCACTTATGTATGCTGTTGGACTGCTTTCTCACCAGGGGAGGGAAGGAGATAGGAACAGTTTATACAAGGCATCACTGTTTTTTTCATACCACTGTGCTGTGTTCACTCATCTTTGGTCATCCCCAACACAACTTTTGTAAGAGCTAGTTCAGCATAACAAAGGCATTTTAGAAATGAGGAAATGGTTGTGAGGTCTGAATATTGCGCATGAGGTGTCATGGAATAATGTCTCTACATACTTGTTGATTTTCAGCTTAGTTTGTCATAAAAAGTTCATGCTGGTTTATACAAATTACTAATCATATTTATTATAATTGTATTTTAGCAACTTGGGATCTCAAATGGTTTATCATCTACATAGCTGGAGGAATTTCTGCTGCTGTCTTACTGTTATTTTTCCCACTGATCTTCTGCATCACCACTGCTTATCACAAAAAGTGAGTAACAAACCAATTTTCTTGCTATACTGAGGCAGGTAAGTATGAAGGTGTTAACAGTTCATCCTACTATCTCCCTCAGGACCAGTTAAAAAAAAGGTAGACATGAAAATTTAATTTTCTTGCCAAAATTTTAAATTTGAAAAAACTAATCAGTTCTATAGCCAATGAAAAAAGTGAAGTTTTCAAATTTTTGTTCTCTTTTTTCCATATTAAAAACCCAAATGGCTTACTCAAGTTCTTTGGTCAGGTAAATGCTTACAGTGGTATTAGCTGAAACTTCATGTCAAGAGTGATTTGTCAGGAGTAACATAAGCCTAGGCATAAACTGTTCCTATCTTGTGCGTGGAGAAGGACAGGTAACATCTTGAGGTTTTCCACATCTTCTAGCATGTTTTGTCTTTTGATTTTATGTTCCAAATTTGCTCACAGCTGGATCCAGCTTAATAGTTTAAACCATTATCTAAGTTTGCTGTATTCCTTGACAAATATATGCTAGTAGCCCGATCCAGAAGCTTTGCTTCCAATTAAAAGAAATAGTGAGCAGAAAAAATATTTCTTCCCCTACCACAATATATGAAGCTGCTGGAACTTGCTGGCAATATGTTTTTGTATTTGCCCCTGAATCAAAAGGCCTTTTTATCTGTGTCTGGGCCTTTATGAAACACTGCTAATCTCACGCATGTTACAATTTGCAAGTCAGAGCAAAGACTGCTTGGATTTTTATTGTACTTATTGGTTTCAATGGGAAATTAAGCAATACCAGCTTTCTCTCTTGTATGCTGGAATTAGATATTTTGGACTATAATATGATGCAAGATGCAGTTCCCTCCATTGTTTTTCTGACTGAATGTGTGTCACCAGAAAGAAGAGGAAGAGGATCATAGAGGCCTTATCAAAAGCTTTGTACTCTACTCTGAGGTAAGATCAGCTGGAGCTTACTTCTATTTTGTATTGCATATTTCTTAATATCTTTCTCTTCTGTATTTGATCTTTATATCCCTTGAATCTTATAGTCTAATCTTAAACTATACAGTCAGGAAAAATGGAATATTTTAAAGTATAATTATCGCCATTCACTTTTTTATAATTAATATTCTTTAATATTTTACAGCTACATTTAGAGGCCCAACTGTGTTCCATATTATTAACAAATTATCTCTCTTAGTTTGCTAGCTTTTATATTATTTGTGTATTGTTAATACCTTTTTTCCTGAAGTCGTTACTTGTAAAACTGAGGCAAAAAATTGTATCCCATGAAACCCTTTACCTATTTCTTCTAGTTCAGCTTCACTATAGTTCATTGGGACAGCTGTTTCAGTGCTTCTCTTTTCTTTCGGTATTGTAATAATCAATGTTCTGGAGCTCTGAGTCTTTCCTCCTGCCCCCTTAATAATCCTATGCAAGACCTGAAGTTTAGAAGTGGAAAGATAGGAACCAATTTCACTGCTTCTGCCTTGTCTCTTCATACCCTAAGTCGGGGTATGAAGTGATGTGGTGCTTAGGGAAATGACCCCATTCTCACAGTGTATCTGAGACTCTAGCTTTCCACCTGTCTCTTCTCAGATGGCACTTCTGTATGATCCAACAGTGAGTTCCACTGTAGATATGTCCTTACAAAACCCTTTGACCTCTTTCCATTTCCATTTCTCTCATTCTGACTCTTGGGTCACTGTTAATACCAGAATGAAGCTCTTCCTAGGGTGACTATAGGATACGGACTAGCCATTTTTCCTCCCATGCCAGTTAACCAAGGCACCATCACCTTAATCATAGAATCATAGCATCATAGAATCATTAAGGTTGGAAAAGACCTTTAAGATCATCAAGTCCAACAGTTAACCTAGCACTGCCAAGTCCATCACTATACCATGTCCTCGAGCACCACATCTATCCGTTCTTTAAATACCTCCAGGGATGGGGACTCAACCACTTCCCTGGGTAGCCTGTTCCAATGCTTGACCACCCTCTCGGTGAAGAAGTTTTTCCTAATATCTAACCTAAACCTCCCCTGGCGCAGCTTGAGGCTGTTTCCTCTCGTCCTATCGCTTGTTACTAGGGAGAAGAGACCAACCCCCACCTCACTACAACCTCCTTTCAGGTAGTTGTAGAGAGCAATAAGGTCTCCCCTCAGCCTCCTCTTCTCCAGACTAAACAACCCCAGCTTCCTCAGCCGCTCCTCATAAGACTTGTGCTCTAGACCCTTCACCAACTTCATTGCCCTTTGGACACGCTCCAGCACCTTGATGTCCTTCTTGGAGTGAGGGGCCCAAAAATGAACACAGTACTCAAGGCGC